TTAGACGCAAACTGTGTTTAGACATAAACTGCACTTAATCATAAGTATTCTTAGAATCGGCTTTTGCATCAAAATAGTTTTTATCAAACGAACGCAGCTTTCGTTCTTAATCGCTGAAAGATATCCGCTGCACTAATTCACCCCCCCCCCTCTTAGTGCTCTCGATCCTAACAATATTGGTTTATAAAAAAATTAGACTCTCAGTCTTCTTTTTTTTTATCTTTTCAAATATGAACTAAAGGAAGATGAGAGAAGGTACGTGAATTCGTTCCTTCTTTCTGAGATCACATTTTATAACAATAAAACTTTCGTGGCCTTAAAGCACATCATAAATTCATTTTTCATTGTTTATAATATAATAAATAATTACTTTATACTTTTTAAAGAAATTATCTTTTCAATTAATATGAATATAAATCTTAAAATGGATTTTCTATTGTTAAGATAATTTACAAAATCAGTATATGAGCTAATATGATGTGAAGTATGTGAGCATATAACCTTTAATCTTGGACATATATCTCATCACATTCTTTATAGTTTTCTAACATGTCTAGGTTTCTCTAGCATTTATTCAACATTCAAACTACCAAAGTGATACATAGTCTTGTACAAGTTTGAGCATATAATAAAATTTTAATTGTACATATATAAGAAATATTTTTAAGCCATTCTTAAGGCACCACTAGCTTTAATTGAATCTTTTACCTCTAGTAACAAGTGTATCTAGTTGAGTCTATATAAGACTCGATCAATATATCATTTCTGAAATAGTCCTAGCAATCCTTAAGATCTCTCCTTAAATATTTCAATGCAATAGTATAAGCTATATTATTCATATCAATCATTTTAAAATTTTTATGAATGTATTACAAGGAAAGGAGAGAGGGGTGAGACAAATGATAGAGAATATATTAATGATCAACTACCATCAAATGTATATTCACCACGTGGAAGCTATCATGGAACGAAAAGGTCTAAGCCATCCTTATAGCCATAGCTTACGTGCTATTGGCTTGAACTCCCTTTGTAATCGATTAGCGACTTCCATGGCCGCCACATAGCCACTTAGCAACCACATCCTCCAATGTCTCATCGATGTCAATCGTGACTAGCAAACGTTACCGCAATAATATTGTTGTAGTCATTGATCAATGGCAACGCCTAATAGGGCTATTGCCTTGTTGTGTTATTGCACGCAATGACCTCACTGTGTGTACATCGCCCGCATCCAAGGCAGGCTACAGTAACACTTGGGCTACTACACATAAGTAGCCTTTACTACATGTAGCAATGTCATCATCTACATAATCGTTACCTATAATTAGATTAGTGACTAATGGAGGTCGCCATCCACAATAGTGCTACTTCTTATAGCAATCTATTGATGGTAACTTACCGAACAGATACAAATAGTATAATTCTATCATGATTCCACCCGTGTTATATCGCTCGCAAAGCATACAAGGAATATGGGGGAATAGATTCAGAGATCAAACATAATACATCATAGATTAATTCAAAAATGATATTAGTTCGAGATTGAAATAATGATTTAAAAGATTAATAGATTTAATCACATAAATAGATCTAAAATTCCTTTATGATCTAAGTTATTTTGACTTTAAAACATATGGCTCTGATATAAATTGTAAGCATAAAAATTATAATCATACTTCAAAAAAACTTTAATACCAATAATTGAAATCAATAACCATAGATTTAAATTTAGATGATGCACCTTTAGATACTATTTAGAAATTTTTTATCTGGTCCATCAACCCTTCTTGCTCATCATGCACATCACTTCCACCCCCCTTCTCTTACCACAAGACTTTGTTGCCTCTATGATAGTCTTCCTTGTCTATTATTGTTTTCGTCTTTTATCCATCATTACATTTATCCATCGTTACAAGGTTTTGTTCCTCTTTGTTCATAGCTCTTGTCACCTCTGCTTATCCCTTCCTCACCTATCACGCCCTCCCTTTGCTTCGTGTGGTGAAAGCCTTGCGATCGAGGTGAGAAAGGGTACCACACGAAGGTGACAAAAGTTTTGACGAGAATAGGCGGCAAAGACGATGTGCACAACACGAAAGAAAAAGAAAAGTTATATTGATGTGACAAAGACAACAAATGGGGGAGAAAAAGGGGACGGGAAGAAATAGACATTTACAACACTAAAAAGAAAAATTACTATTTAAAAAATAAAAATAGAAATACTATTTACAAAAAATAAAATAAGGATGTTAGCCTTTTGTACTCGGATCCTTTGTTATTTATTTTTTGAGAAAAAAAACCCTGATAGAATGATGGAAACACTGTAAAGAAATAAAAACAAAAACCAAGAAGAAACAATAGAAACACTCTTTATTTTTCTGCCCCACCGATGATAAAAAGAACGGAAGCGCAACTCCATCCGACACCAATCCTTGTTTGTTTCGAGGGCAACGCCGTCTTGCTTGATCTTGAACTCCCCACGAAACCCGTTCGCGATGGATCTGGCAGCGCGCAAGACGTTCGTCCTCCTTCGGCCTCCCATGCTGTTCGCTGGCAAAGCCTCGTCCGTGCACGAATCCCGTCGTGCTCGTTTGAGCGTCCCCGCGCCTATCTGTGCCCTAGGAGCACCGTCGCGTGGCTTCCTCTCCCTCTCCGCGCGAGGCCACCTGAATTCATGTCTCCCAGCTTCTTTCGGCGTCCATGCCCTTCCGACATCGGTCATTTCTTCCTGTCCGCCCGATGAGAAGATACGAGATGGATTCCGCCTCGTTCTCGTCGCGATTGCATGCTGGGTGTTCGTGGTAAGGTGTCAAAGGGCTTTTGCGGCCGAAGGCACTGTGGATGCCGCGAAAGGGGTCTTGACATCAGGAAGAGCGAGTCTTAGTACAGCCTGGCCGAAACTGCTGCAGATTCTTCATGTGCTCAGGGAACAAGGGTTGATTTTGACGGCGCTTCTGGGTTTGTCGGCGTTCTTTTCTATGGCAGAGACGGCCATCACTACATTGTGGCCGTGGAAGGTGCCTACTGCCCTTTACATGCCCACTTGTCGGGTCCAATTCTTGAATTCTTCTTTTGGCATTATTTCTAGTTCTGCTTGGAATAAAAATGCATGAGATAAAGTCTCTTTTGGCTTAATGGCTTTATTCATCAGGTTCGCGAATTAGCTGAAAAGGAACCTGAGAATGGTGTCTTCAGAATGCTTCGTACTGATGTCACTCGTTTTCTCACTACAATTCTTATAGGCACAACGTATAAATTTGTTTGTTAAGTGATTGTTTCCCTTCGTTTCCCGCTATGATTTAATTGTTATCATTCAGCTTCTAAAGTATTCCCTGTGCTGTTGTTATGTGTGATCAGCGTGGTCAATATTGGTGCTACAGCGCTTGTTACTGAAGCAACAACTGCAATTTTTGGGGAAGCTGGTGTTAGTGCAGCAACAGCAGTTATGACGGTAGGCACTGGTCCCTTTAATGATAAAACTGCTTTGCAAAATTATGCTATTCTGCATGATTACATCATATACGGTCCAGACTCATGTGACTGGGAAAAGTCTTGATGATGTCATTCTAGATATACACAATTATCTCGGATGGTTCAATGTATCAAAACATATATCGATTACAACCATATTCTGAGCTTTTGTTGCTACCATTTTCCTTGTTATTCAGGAACTACCTTAGGTCTCCAGCTACACCATTTCTGTAATGTTTTGTGCATCACTATCATTGCTGTATAAGTACAAAATTATTTGCCATTTGTATGCAGATTGAGTGTTAGTTAAAAGATTTCAGATGTATGTTATGTTTCAGAGCATAGCTAATCAAAGATCCAGTTATGTGTACAATAAAATGGTAATTGACCGAACAATTTTCTGTACATATCTAGGACCAATAAAAATAACTAGAAGTACTTAATTTAGAAAGTCATATTTTGCTTTATAAGGGGCCTGTTCTTGTATACTTGGGATTTATTGGTTGGAGCTGTTTTATAAACTTTTTTGTGATCCTTAACCCCACTACATATCTAAATTATTGCAGGTTGCTATTTTGCTGCTTACAGAAATCACTCCAAAAAGTGTGGCTGTTCATAATGCCACAGAGGTCGCTAGGTTTGTCGTAAGGTGGGTTGTCGACTGATGCTTTAATAATTAGAGTGGAATCATCATATGCTTGATATGAGAATCTAACAAGGCTGCTGATCAGAGTTTAGCTTGTGATGCCAATTAGATCAGGCCAGTTGCATGGCTTTCTTTAGTCTTATATCCTGTTGGAAGAGTTGTTACCTTTTTGTCGATGGGAATTCTGAAGCTGCTGGGCCTGAAAGGGAGAAGGTAGGGTGTACATTGAGTCTCTAAATTCATGCTTAGTCCTTTTACTTCACATCGTGTTTGATCAATTTTCATGCACATTTTCATTTCATCTGTTGATTAAAGAGTTGTTCATGTTTTGGGCCAAAAATTTTCAGCTCATTTTAAAAGTTCACTACTTTAAGCATTTTGGTAAAAGTAGTTTGATTTTTCGTATATAGGCAGTTTTGTGCAAGGGTTTCTTTGGTTCTTATCATTGTTGTTTGTCCATGTAGTGAACCATATGTCACTGAAGATGAATTGAAATTGATGTTACGAGGGGCAGAACTGAGCGGGGCAATAGAGGAGGAAGAACAGGTGAGAGAAATTCAGAAAATTTTGATTCGTTGTCTCTCTCTGACTCTGTCCTATATTTTTTTACTCTTTTATAATCAAGTAACATTCATTTTGTTGCCAGGGTTGTTTCATGTGATTGAACAAAAATTGCCTTTTTGTGGCATGGGGATGCTAATACAATTTAGCATATAACAAGGCAAAAATTGGCTAACGTGTACATCAACATGACACATAGATCTTTCTATCATTTAATGTTCCGACCTATATTGACCTGTGCCAGTAGGTATAGAAACCCATCCATACTATGAGTGTTAGTAGTTTTCAAGGGCAAATGATGCTAACTTATTTTCTTTAAAATGGTTCGAAATACATAAAGATTGTCTGAATTATCTACAAGATCATAGTTTCTGAAAAGTACTTCTTTTGCAATATCCCAGCAACAAAATCCAAGCACCTAGTTAGAAGATACATACAGGAGTTATCCTGTCAGTTTGTCTTCCTGTGAGACTAGGAAAATGATACTTTCGAATCAGAAATGATAATGCTAAATTGCTGTAACACTTTGAAGAAAAATACTTTTATTTTCCTTGTCGCACTGTCAGGCACCTTTAGATTACCAGCCATCTTATTCTTATTCTGTTCATGCTTCTTGTCAATAAGTGCTCATACTTAGATGCACCTACGTCATCAAATTGAGTTGAAAGTAAGGTTCGCCGTACCGTATCGTACCGGCGTTTCGACCTGGGCTCGGTACCGGTATGGTACGGTATACCGCTCGGTACACTCAGGTGTACCGAGCACTGTAGCAGGGCGGTCCGGTACCGCTAGCCTGTCGGTACGGGCGGACCGGTACAGGGCGGTCCGCGTACCGCTAGCCTGTCGGACCGGTACGTACCGCCTGTACCGGGTGGTACAGTCCGGTACGGCAAACCTTGGTTGAAAGAACTTTAACACTTGATGTCAGTATGTCACAGTTGATTGACATGCCTGATATGACAATCTGATAATGTTCCAATTGAATTCTACTGGATATTTGTCATGATGATCTTTGAATGTTTCTAATGAATCTAATGTAGCCTTAGTTTTATGGTTTCTACGTGTAATCAGAACAAATGAACAGCCATCAGCTTTGGGATTGATGGCGCAATGATAAAGGGAATATGAAAGTAGATCCATTATTATTATTATTATTATTATTATTATTATTTGCTTTACGTGGAGTGGATAACTAAATGCTATTGTTTTTGAACAGGACATGATTGAAAATGTTCTAGAGATAAAAGACACACATGTTCGGGAAGTGATGACACCACTTGTAGATGTAGTTGCAATTGATGGTAGTGCAACACTTATTGATTTTCAGAAATTATGGGAGACTCATCAATATTCAAGGTATAGTATATTAGATTTAACATGAATCAAATATACAAACTGGTTTCTTATTAGATATTAATAATAACTTTTCAGAGTACCTGTATTTGAGGAGCGCATAGATAATATCGTAGGAGTTGCATATGCCATGGACATGCTTGAATATGTTGAGAGGGTGGGTTCTACTTTACGACAATTCAATATTTTACGATCAATATGCCATTTAATTCTCTCATGGTACGGCTTTTTATTGATCAATCTGTCTCTTCTGCTTTTAAAGGTCGAGAAGCTTAAAGAAATCACTGTGAGAGAAATTGCTCGCATGCCAACATATTTTGTGCCAGGTAATCTAAACTAGTGAAATGGTTTTTGGGAATTGGAGTAATAATTTGTGGTTGTGCATTAGTTAGCCTGCCATTAGATTGTTCGTCAAATCTCTTTATGAGAGTAAGCTTTCTCTGTTCTTCAGTTGCAGTGGAACATTTATGTTTTTATCTGGTTTGTAACTCTAGAATCCTCCTGCTTTGATCTTTCTTCTGTTGTTGTTTTAATAAACTGTGTTTGTGTGTTTGGAATTCTGGCACACTAACTGCAGAGCATTCTTTCTTTTATTACAATGCAGATTTGATGTCTGTCTGGAACCTGCTGAGGGAGTTCCGCATAAGGCAGGTTCACATGGCTGTAGTCCTGAACGAATATGGTGGAACTGTTGGTGTAGGTTCAGCTGAAGCTCAATACTAATTGTTTGAGTATTTTATTAGTGTTCACTTAACAGTTATCTTTTAGTGGTTGGCTTTATCCCATTCTCTTATGCATATCCTCACATTTTCTGTGTGCTTTTGCAACCTTATTTTATAGCTTCTGGCAATTTTTCTTCATTTTGATTGTATTTTGGTTCACTATGGCAAAGGCTAATGACCATATCTTCTCTATAATGGGTCATAAGATAATAGAATTGAGAAAATATATGCAACTTTTTTTGGTCCAACATCTTATCTAGCATATTGGTACTTGATATAGTATGGTACTGATAAAATACCATCTTGAGAGAACATTATGGGGTTGATACAATCTTTGTCAGTCATTAACTGTATTGACATATCTACTAGTCTGATCCATATTGAATCAGTATCTAAAATTCAATTGCTGCTCCTCAAGTCAAAGGGCCATTTTTATGAACCATTTATGTTCTTTTTATTTAGGAAAATTCGGAATTACATACTTCATTCAGTATACATACAACTCTTAATGTGGTATTAGAGAACAAAATTAAATTTATAATTTATTTATATTTTATGTAAAAGATTTTGAACAAGGAATCAGAAGTAGAAATAGCTGATCATCAATTTCTAGACAAGATTTGATAATAAAAGGTTAGAAAAACTATTTTTTTGCTCGACTCACTTCAATAATGAGAGAAGCTAAAGCTACTTTGACTAACTCTTATCTGGAGTAGGTTTGACCTCTTTTTTGCTTGTTCACAATGTTTTAAAATGCTAATATAGCATAGTTAGTAAGATGTTACTTTTCCTACCAAATTTGATTATGTAGAAAGCACTTACATCATGTAGATATTCAAGGTGTTGCATGATGTACGCATGCTATGCAACTTATGTGGCTGCATATGCTACATTATGGTTCATATGAATATATTTAAACAATGCAATAACTGTGAACTGGGAAAGCAGATATTAGTCATGTTTAAACAATTATCATTTGATTATATGCTATGACTAAATCTAGAATCTATGGGATGTCTCACTTATTTAAATAATTATTCAAGTGACAAGTTGCAAGAAATGGATAGAAGTCCAAGAAATTTATATTATATTGTCATGGATTCTTATTATAATATAGAATTATAGTAGCAACATAAATTAGAGCAAGAAGGCTGAAAAAATGACATGTATAACAACATTTATCATGTTTATGCAAACTATACATGTGACCTCATCTACTTCAGAGGCAGTATATTTTGCATGTGCAATAATACCACATATTGATGCTGCATGCCTTATCAAAGGATATGATGGATCCACATATGTTGTGCGTTAGACTGCTTCTGGCAGTGCTGAGACTGACATGTATTAAGTATTTCTAACAATAGGTTGTTCCTATGAGAATAAGATGCCTCGGATTATAGGCTTCATTCATTATTACATTGCTCTATTTATAACAATCACGTTGACATTTGCTTATAAATTAAATATTTTAGTTGAAAATATATGAAAATACATAAATCAACTAAGCCTTCAACGATTTCCCAATTAGATTTATGTAAAGGCTGTCTCCTTCATTGCTAAACATCTTATCAAAGATAAATCATGTATGTCCTGATAAAAGTTTTGATAATTTACCTTGTAATCCTAAGAATAACACAGAAACCTTTTTATTCAGCTTTTGTTTCTCCAATTACTAAACCCACATCTTTCCCTGAGTTCACTTATTATGAGAAATTGAGAATGCATTTGGAAGCAACATGTATGAGTAGGAATAGCTCTTATAGATAGTTGAACACAATAGAGATATTGGTCGAAGTCCCACCAACTAGGAAGTTCACACCAACCTTAAAATGAAATTCTCATGCCTCAAACCATAAAAATCATAAAGGAAAATTATAAAATATGAGAACAACTAAATCAAGTTTAGAAACCCAGAAAAAAAAAAGAAAAACTATAAAAGTCTCTGTGCACCTAAGGTTTCTGGATAATATGGTTGGCAGAGGTGCATGCAGCTATGGGGCATTGCCCATGGGATATGGGTGTATCCAATGGGCTTCCATGTGCAGGAGTGTTTGTCTTGCTAGACTGAACAGTTAAAAGGATGCAAAATGAGATGAATATGTTGGATGATGGGTGCACCTGAGAAGGGAGTCAATATGCTGACAGAATATTTTACTTCTGACATCTTTTTATGAGCCATACCTCGATTAATACTGTGAAAGAAATTAGTTGAGGACAGAAATCTAAACAGGCTCATATCTTGTTGAGCAAAACTCTGTGCTGTTTATGTTTATGTTATTTGATACTTGTATATACTTGGAATGCTGTAGGAGCTTCAGTCATGATTTTATAGTTCTATCTATTCTCATTTATGAAAAACTTAAATTGGACAGATTGTAACACTGGAAGATGTTGTTGAAGAAATTGTTGGTGAAATATTTGATGAAAATGACTCAAAGGTAAACTGTTGAAACCTCCATTTTCTAGTGTTTTTTCCCCATGGAGATAGTTTATATTTGAATAAGGTTTCTGAGTTTGTGGAAACATTACAATGAACATTATCAGCCTAAAGTTTCTTGTTTATTTTTTTTTCCTCTTGGCAATTATTATCTCAGCTATACACATCTGAAACACTAATCACCTTCATGTGTTTTTTAATGCTTTCTTGTTTGGCTACATGGATTAAGTTTTTTTGTTGTGACAAAGGATCATGATGAAAGGTTTTGTGTGCATGCTGCTTCCACATATCACATGCATCTATTACATGTCATGCATTCCATGACATGACACGTACCAGCTAGTCTGCATGCCTTGTTTTCACACTTGCATGACCCTGCACACAAATTTTCTATGTGCTGGCTCTCGATGTATAATGGTAACTACCATGGTGAATCCGCACCATATTGCATGGGTACAAATACATTATTGGTTCAAATCATTCTTGGTGTCCTGCTTCTGTGGCAACATATGATATTGTCATGCTGCAATACCTCAGCTCTCTTTGCTCATATCTTCCATTTCTGAATGTTGTGAATTGTACAATACATTAATTATTGACTATTCTGGTTCCAGTTAACCTTTAGAATTATGGACTTCTCATTTTTACTGTCATGCAACTGTTTGGGTTAGTATTTAGCTTATAATTTAGTGCTCTAGCCTCTAGGTCCATGTACTTGTTGCTCTCGTTTATGATCAGATAAATGGAGTAAAAAGATAGGAGAAGCATAATTTTTGAAATTTCTCCTTCATGTCAATATATGAATTGTTGTTTAGTCTTTGTAGAGCCTATACTTTAAACTAGAGTATTATATGTTCGATAATGTTGGAATGTCAGGACCTAAAACTTTGACAGATGTGATAACATTATGTTCTGTGATCTCTTTTTCAGTGAAAAAATTGTACAGAGATTGTCCATGTAACAAGTGTCCTATATTTTTCTAATAATTTTTTTCTTAGCTACTTCTTGTTTAATGCAGGAGGAAATTCAGCGTAAAACTGGATACATAGTGTTGCGAGATGATGGAACATTTGATGTTGATGCAAATACATCAATTGACCAGCTTTCTGAAGAACTAAATGTTAAAATTCCAGAGGTTGGTAATATTTAATCTTGCCAAGAAATAAGATATTTGGTTCTGCAGCATACTATTTCAAATGAGAAACCATTGATCGCCATCCTCACAGGAGGTTAAGAATAAGGTTACTTTGCTATTTGCCCTTTGATTCCATATAACTTTCTCTTCAATGTGATATAACTAAAATTTTGAAAGAGAGAGGAAACTGATAAATGGAGGAAATGAAGTTAAGGGTGAGTAAACCATAGAGTCCAAATTCGAATGGCATTGTCTTGCTCGTTTATTTATTTAGTTGTTTAACTAAAGTTTTATATTGTGTAAATTCAAAACAAAAATACATTGTTTTTCAGTATGGAATTTAAGATTTGGCTGAAATGTATCATTTGGACAAGAAGTCTTTAATATGAACGGGACTTAGTGTGATTCAGGCAGCTGGATTGGTACATGTTGATTAGTTAATACAGGCTTGTATCATTGGGCTTTGGGTGGTTCAGACATGTTGGATCCAGAATGGTTTAGCATTTAGTTCTGTGTCATTTCAAGCCTCTTGATCAAATCCTTCTTGTGAGTTTGATGCACATTTCAAAACAATGCTATACGCCTGCCACAACTCTGTCAAAGAGGTGACCATAGAAGTGTAGGACTATGATGTTGTTTTACCCAAAACAATTTTGAGATTGATAGGCTTCTCCGTCTTCATTGTAGTGCTGTTGCAACATTAACATTTTCATTTTCATTTTGTCCTCAAATATTCAACTTATGCCTGCCACAACTCTGTCAACGAGGTGACCATGGAAGTGTAGCACTATGAGGTTTTTTTCACCTAAAACAATTTTGAGATTGATAGGCTTCTCCTTTTTCATTTTAGTGCTGTTGGAACATTAACATTTTAGTTTTCATTTCGTCCTCAAATCTTCAATTTTATGGAGGGCTTGCTTTAGTTAATAGTGTTAACGAACTTCCATGGTTCATTTACCATGTTAGTAGGATTAAGTCAAGTAGCTTATTTGTGAGGACCTTTAAGAATACGAAAGTAAATAATAAAGTATCACGTGCTTGAAAAATGTGATTAATGCTATTTTTTTGATAAGATTTTGCTTGCCCTTTGAAGACTATATGCAATAAATAGCTCTGTGCTCATGAAACTAGTCAATAGTGTAATGTTATGTGAAACTTAACATATATATTAGCACAAACGGGAGGTACAAAAAATTCAAAAAAGGTTGTTGACTGAATTGATTTCTTAGTATGTTCTTGTTGTCATGTATCTTGCCTCAAACAGTTGGTATACTATAGCTTCATGTTGTCATACTCTATAAACAACATATATCATATGTTTTAAAAATTTAAGTTGAATTTTGCTTTGAAAATTTTATTTAAAATGTTTATGATTGAAGAATATTCTATGAAGTAAAATTGAGCAGATTTTGATTGCAATATAACCAACTACAATTGAGCATGATTATGAAGAAGATATTGGATGCATGGTATCCCACGAAGAGTCTGTTCTTTCCAAAATACCAGTTTATGTTTCCACACAGCAGAAACTATTGTATCTTATATAATAGTGTTAGTGAAAAGAGTGATGGATGAATTGAATTGGATTAGTACTCCATCTCGTCAAGGAAAATAAAAGCAAGGCTGAAGTTATTATGAGATGAAGTAGTGTATTCTTCCCTAAATATTCCAAATAGTTTACACATATATAAATACACATTCTTTTAAGGAAACTAAATACATAAATTTTCTGTGTGCGTATGAACTATTAAAGATGCCATATCCTCTTTGATCTTTCAGGGTCATCAGTATGAAACAGTATCTGGTTTTGTCTGTGAAACCTTTGGATATATTCCAGAAGAGGGCGGGAAGATTATAGTGGTTCTTGAGAAGGCGAATCAAGAAGAAGAAAGTGAAAATGCTGAAACATCACCTGATAACCAAGATGAAGAGAGGCATCAAACTTTTGAACTGGAGGTACGTCTGGGATACTTTGTCTAACAAATACTATACTCTTCATGTTCCTTGAAATCTCAATGATTGTTGATACTCATATTTTCATCCTACTTGAACTCTCTATAAGTCCTCATAGAAGCAAACATATTGTGGAATACACATTTGAGAATCCAAAAATTACCAGCAAGGGCACAATGGAAGGCCCTACATGAAAATACTGTTGACTCTCCATTTACCACATAGACACTGATCAGTAAGTCACTGTAGGAAACTATTGTGTTTCATGGTGTTACTGATGATAGTCATAGCCAAGGGAAAGCATCTTGTGCATGGCTAATCCACGGAGACAGCCAACTGAACAGGCTTACTGCGATATTCTTCCTCTTATGATGTTTTCCTCCTTTTTCTGCTCTTTTATGTCTCATTTCACATGCTGTATCCTCTTTTGCATTTGCTGTTGATGCGATCAATAAACTGTTTTCAGTTTGGTTTTGGATCCAACATCCCATGTTTGATTGTATTTGATCTTAAAGACTTCACTGTATCCTCATATGAAACAATAATACATCACGTATTCCTATCCACTTAGTGTTCACAAGTAGTTCTTTATCATGTTGAAGTTCATTATCTAATTGACTCCTTTTGGTATGTCAGGATGCCCTGACTCATTATTGATTACCGTTATTGAGGTTTGATCTATATATATTGTAAAAGAAGCAGAGGCCTTCAGTCTACTCTAGTTTATTTACGTGATTTTAGATAATTTTTTTGCTCATTAATTTGTTGAACTCTAGAATCTTTTTCTTATCTTGGTTTTTAAGGGATGATTTTGTTACATAAAAACATAGACATGTTTTCGGAGCTCCCCCTATAAATTTTGCTGTTTCTGATGTTGTGAACTACATGCAGGTACTTGAAGCTAATGAAAGAAAGGTTGGCTTAGTACGATTTATACCAATAGACAACGAGGGTGAGGAAGACTTGGATAACAAGGGTGTGAACCGAGTGGTTTCTAAAAAGGTGATTAAACAGAAGAAGCAGACGGTCAATAAACCAGAAAAGTGTGACGAGGAAATTGAAGAGAGTCTCGAAGATGGGTGTTCGCAACAGACAATTTTACTACAGGAGCAATTCCAGAGTGATGGTTCCATACGTCATGCCATTGATGAGAAAGTAGATAACCATGATTGAAGTATATGATAGCTGCACTTCATCCCCGATGCTTCCAGTTGATAAAACAGAGAAAAAAAGGAAAAAAAGAATGCCCCAAAGAGAAAGAGAGAGAGAGCCAGGAAAATTCATGGTTTGCTAGACAAGCTACTAGGATCACTTTACAGGTGAAGAGAAGTGTCAACTTCTGTTTCATTGGATGTCACAGAGGCTTGCATGTTAACACTATTGGACCACAATCCTAACGACAGCGAGATCTCGAATGACTGGAGTCCAGCACAGTTGACATGGTACTCACTCTGAAGGGATGGCGAACTGCACAGAGACCTGGAAGGATGTTTCAGATCATGGTGGAAGAACCACTTGGGTTGTTCAGCTTCGGCAGTCAGCTGCAGGATCTGCCTCTCCTTCCTCATCTCCTTGATTTGCTGGAGACGCCTGAACCTCTCTTGCAGCAGTGCTATGGATGAGCAGAGGACTGTATCATCATTGTTCTGCCTTCCCATGGATCAACCAAAAGTGGTTCCACAATGGCGATGGGTCAGTTGTGTTATAATGGGATTGTATTCTTTTGGGGTTTCACTGGGCGTCTGAAGAGCTGTGTATGTATTTATAGGGATCAGAAGTTGTCTTCTTCCTTTTCATCTATTGTTATGTTTCCTTTGCACTTGGTTGTTTCTGGACGAATGCTAAAGAGAGAGGTGAATGGGGCATCGGAGGTGCAAAGTCCAAGAAGGCAAGGCTTTTGTGGCTTTCTAAGAATTGGGTTTGGTTAAATCTGGATATAGGCAAAAAGGACCTCTGAAAGGGGAACAGGGTCGGGAGATGAGTCCAAAGACTGGTGGATTTAGCATTTGGAGGTGCTTTCACGAGGGAATAACAGGTAATAAGATGACCATATCATGCCTGCTATGCAGGAGATGTTACTTTTAGTTAGTGCTTGTAGGCGTGCTCTTGCCAGTGTCAAAGGTAAGTACCCACTTCCAGACATCGTTATTTATGTCTTCCGGCTTCCATGCATTTAAATTTGAATGGTTTGGTTGAGGCTCGATGATCCCTCTGATGTTGCAGGTTGCGTTCGTATCCCCAGGTGGGATTGTATCTTTCTTTTATATGCCGAAGCCGCCAGGTTATTGCGAGGGGGAGGCGAAGTGGGTGGGGAAAGCAGTGGGTTAGGAGAGCATAATTTTTGGGTCTAATGATGTCGCCTGTAAAGGAGAGGCGCTGACTGCTGCTTTTCTGATTTCATGCACGTCTTTTCTCCTACTTTTTCTTGTCTCGAGCAATTGGATGGGACTGGCATGATCCATCCTCCGAGCTCGTTTGCCTTGTTAGTGGACTGTTGAGGTTAAAAAAGAAGACGTGCTTTTTCTTCTTAGCCTGCCACCATTCTTATCCATTTAGCTAATCTCAATTAATTTTGTTTTCTTTTTTATTTCTTAAGGGGAGAAACGGGCTTTGTTTGGTGGGCATGATCACACATTTCATCCTTTGGTTGGAGAGATTCTGAGCATTTCATCCTAGGGTTGCAAAATCCAATTATATATCAAATTTATCATGTTAGAAAGTGTCATAAAGGGTGCTAGCTAATGGTGGAAGGTGTCATGACCTAAGTCTTGTGGAGATAAATCAGATATGAATAATGTATTTGAAAGATCATATAGCTAGCTAGCTACTTTTGAATCTGAACATCTGATTAATAATATACTAAGATGAACTAGATGAAGTATTAAAAAAAAAAAACCATCAGACGAAAAATATCATATGAAACTTGGAAAAAAAAGAAGAATACGTGATATTTAATAAAAATAACAATGTTCACTCCTTACTCATGTTAAAGAGAAGATCTGGAGTTAAGACTTATCTACTGTGTTGTTTAATCTGGCTTTGATATATCTTGTCCATCAGATTCTCCTGCAGTTTTTGGCATCAGAGCTATACGAGAGCAGGTGTCCCTCTTGACGTGCAGGCTCTCACCAGTAATTTAATCGATCGACGATGGAGATATAAACGTAGACAGGCAAACGCAGTTCGAGGCCTTTCATCAGATACTGTACACCATCATGAACAATGACATTAATTTAATCGATCAACGATGAAGATATAAAAGTATACATGCAGACGCTGATCCAGGCCTTTCGTCAGATACTATTACACCATCATGAACAACGACAACGAGGTGAAGACTACACGATCCGACTAGTACAGGATTGCATCCTCGGCAAAGTTGATTTTTGTAGTACATTCTACGACACTTCAAAGTTTTGAGGTACATTCTACAAAACTACTCGGTCCGTAGGCTATATATGTCAAAAATATATCGAGCATTAAAATATAGTTGATTTATTTTTCTTTAGGAAGAGAAAATTACCTAAAGGATTTTGGGATATAAAAACAATTTGTTATTATACAAATTGTTTGATAATGTCATGTCATGTTGCTAATCTGATCAATATTGTTGTGAATTATTTCCATCTGCTTGGTTTGTGATTATTGAACATATGTTTTTATTATGATTTATTATATGTGGTTTTGATGATTCCCACTTGTGTGTGAATTCAAGATACTTTATTTATGAAATATGATGTTTTAAATTGAATATGTTATTAAGTGTAACATGAGTGTATTCCAAGTATAGCAAGAGTAATTTTCCTTAAACCTATTCAAACTTTTCTATAACTATTCTAATATGATTCTAATCAGTTTACTATTACTTTTCCTAATTGTTTTTGAATTTAGGGTGACTAATTGTCTAAATATGATACTTTTGGTTGAAACTGTGATTAGTGTAGCCAAATTGTAATACTAGTGTGACTCAGTAATTTTCACTAAACTTATCAAAACTCCTCTATAAATATCATAATATGATTTTATTATGTTTAGTATTTTTCTTAAATTTTTGAACTTTAGAATGATTAATTATCTAAATAAAGAATTTGTGTTTTGAATTGAGTGTAACTAAAGAAATTTTCATCAAACCTATTGAAACTCCTCTATAAATATCTTAATATGATTCTAGTATGTATAATATTTATTTTTCCTAATTTCTTTTTAATTTTTAGATATTTTTTATCTAAATATGAGATTTATGTTTTAAAAACATGACCGAGTGTAACGAGAGTACAACCGAAGAAAGTTTATCGAATCTATTTATTTAAACTTGTGTATAACTATTCTACTATGATTTTAATATTATTTTTTATTCTAAAAATTAAATTATTCAAAAAGGTATTTCGTTTTGACCGATACTACTATTTCATTTAGGGTGGTACCATTGCTATTGGGTAGTGTTACAATATTATCGAGTGTAACACTGCATAGTAAGAAGGTGACAATGACCTCTTGCCTCATTGGCAATGTCGATAGTGATCGCGACCATTAATATTCATTAGGATGGTGATGACGAACTCCTATCTCGCTGGCAAAGGTCATCACATGATCATCGAAGTCTAACAAGAAGGCAATGGCATTTTGTTATCGATGACGACCATGACCAGTAGCAAGAAAGTCGATAATGATGAATGAGGTTTGATGGTATAATTTGAGAGAAAAACAAGGGTTAATTTAGACCTAAAATAAATAAATTAAATAATTAATTTATTTTAAATCTACCCAGTCAGGTTCATATCATACAAATTAGTTCAACCCAATAAAATTTAGAATCAAACAGGAAAATAGATATCTATTATGAAAAAAAGAATGCCCCTTAGTTAAAAACAAAAATGGGGCATCATATGATAGAACGTCATTATCGAGAGTTTTTTGAGTAAATTATTCATATATATATATATATATATATTAAATTTGATGTTCTCTCCAATTGTCACAGATTTATATAAAGGCCTACATATATTACAATGGTTTATGCTTGGAGAAATGCACTTTATTTCAACCTTAAATACGTACGGTTGTGATTTTGCCATAATAACCAGTCTTTATTTGCTCATACGCCCCTCTCGATGTATTAATTTGCGTTTACAACCTCGTAACGCACGTTATTGTGTTTGTTCGCTAAGAAACCCATTAGAATTTATTTATTTGTGTATACAGCCTCATAACCCGTACGAAGTTCTTTTTGATATATACCCCTCGATTTGAGTATATTTGTGTATACACACCCTCACGTCATATGTAAATGTTATGTACCAAAGAATCGGAGCCGGCGTGTCCCCAAATCAAGGGGTACTCCGTCAGATCGCTCGCTCGACGCCGATCACCGCCCCGGGTGGATGCCCGTACGCCGACGAAGAGGAGGCCCCTTTCCTTCTTTAAATGCCAGAGGGCTATCGCCCCGTATTTCGCCTCTCCCCGCCTCCGTGATTAGGGTTTTGTAGCGTCTCCTCCCGGCCTCCCAGCGGCGATGGGGCGCTCCCGCGCCGTGCCCAACTCCGGCGACGACGACACCAGTCATAGGTAAGATGACCCTTCTCCATCGTAGGTAATTCTTTGATATCTTCTTTCTACGAAATTACCTCCGTCTAAATAATGCTCGTGGTATCTTTTTCTTCTTTCTTGGTTGATTTATTAAAAAAATTGATGGGATTAGGTCGTCTCGTGCCGTTTATGATCACTTTCTTAGGTTAAAATTCAGTTCAGAATAAAAATATAAATAAAGAAAAGGAAAGCGGCGGAAAAAAGGAAGCGATGGGTAGAAAGATGGTAGTGGAGCCAGCTGTGCCGTAATTTGTATTCAGATTGCTCACTTCTTATGCTTGCGCTGATAGACATTTGGACCAGATCCTTTAAACATGTTAATTGGTATGGAGTTAAATATAGTATAAACGGGAAGAAGGTATTAGTGCATACAAGACTCATGCCAGGACAAATTGATATATGAACTCGTAATGTCTGTAACAATTATCAGAGAGATAAAAAAGTAAAAAAAGCTAAACATAATTGTATTTAGGTGAATCTGTGAGTTGGTTCACTGTAAGCGAAAGCACTATGCAGTGCCCTCAGTGTACAGACTACAGTTAAGAGGGATGACAAGTTGAAGGGTACCTAAACAGTGCAACATACATTTAGGAAATTGAGCTCTTGGCCTTCCTATTTGTTTGTGACCCATGCGCTAGAGGATAATCGGAAGTGAGGAGGCGGAAAGGAAAAATAAATCCAAAGTTTGGTCACTTTTAATCAATTAGTTAAGTTGGAAGTCCCACCATTGCTTATACATATGCTGTATTTCTCCTTGTGCATTTCAGTATCTCCAATTAAATCATGTAACTATGAGGTTATGCAAGAAGGCTACAGAGAGGCTGGTGGATAGCTGGAAACATGGTTTATTAATGTCCTAATCAAGTACACCAGAAATAATATATGACAAATGTCTTGGTATCTAATTCTATAAGAATACATCTAGAATTGAGAAGATAGTAATTTAATGGGGATTTAACATCATACACAATAGCGAATATTTGAATAGTATGATAATACAGGTTAAAGAAAGAAACTTATTAAAGCACCTACAACTACAAAATCACAGAGAGAGAGAGAGAGAGAGAGAGAGAGTAGGTGCCCTCTGAGATTTTAAAGCACCTACAACTAGAATACATGAAAATGATGATCTAAACAAATTTCCATGTGAATGGTGATTTTAAACCAAGATATATTTTAAAGCACATTTTACATGAGAATGATGATCTAAACAAATTCATCTAATTCATTACT